GCCGGTATTTTTCTTTGTCTTTCTGGCTTATCTCACTCAGCATGATCTTTTCCAGCTCCACCCAAGTTGCTGCAAAAGACATGTGTTTCTCTTTTTTGGTTGCTGAGTAATATTCCATTGTATATATGTACCCCATCTTTTTAACCCAGTCATCTACTTTTGGGCATTTGGGCTGCTTCCATGTTTTTCCAATTGTAAATAAAGCAGCAATAAACATGGGGGTGCAGGTATCTTTTTCAATCAGTGTTTTTGTGTCTTTGGGGTAGATACCTAGGAGTGGGGTGGCTGGGTCGTAGGGAAGCTCCATGTTTAGCAGTTTGAGGAACCTCCAAACAGTTTTCCATAGTGGTTGTACTAGTTTGCAGTCCCACAAGCAGTGCAGGAGAGTTCCTTTTTTACCACATCGGATAGCTGCTTTTATAACGTGTTCAAACCTCTCACCTGTTTATGCTGGTTGTCTTCTTATAGTTGAGTTGTGTGCATTCGTGACAGATTATGGATAGTTTGTCAGAAATATATGTTGGTAAAAATATTTTCCAGTCTGCAACTTCTCTTTTCGTTTTGTTAATGGTGCTTCCTATGGTTCAGAAGGTACAAATCTTAAAGAAGCAAAATATATCAATTTTATGTTATGGTAAGTGCTTCCTGAGAAATCTTTATGTAGGTAACCACTATTTTATTTCAAAACCACCTCTGGGTACAACTTTGGCTTTAAAAAAATTATATTTTAGGCTTTCCCTGGTGGCACAATGTGTTAAAGCACCGCAATATGAAGCTCTCTGAATCCACTGCAGCAAGAGTTTGATCGCCCGCCAGGGAGCTGTCCTAGAGGGCCCAGCAGACCTCTCCTGACCCACCCGCTGCTCCCCTCAGCGTGTACTTCTTCCATCTGCCCGTCCTGCTCCCCACTCTGTCTCTGGTGAATCCTTTCATTGCCCCTGCACCTCTGGCTTGTACCACACCTCTGGCCTGTACCCCAGTTCTGTAAGCATAAAATAAATAAATTTTTAAAATTATATTTTAATTTTAAAAAATTGACAGCAGAGTTCTAGCCTGTCACCAGTTACCCCCAGACACCATTCCAACCAAGAGGCAAGAACTACAAATGATATAGCAAGCACAAGTAAGAACGAGTCTAAAAGCACTGTATTTCTGACCTCTACTACTATTTTGTTATGGTAGGTAGGTGATAAAATACCTAAAAACAAGTCAAAACTACTAAATTGGCCCTGATGGGTGGACGAAATGTTTCCTGGTTGGGGGACTGATGGTAGTACCTATCAGCAGGTACAGGGCAAGTTCGGAGAAAGCTTGGGGCACACCTGTGAACGCAGAATAACCCCTTACTTGGGAAATGTGCTAAAGGAACAAAAACGTCAGCCCAAAGCAACAAAAATAAAAGACTTCTACAACCTCCAACCGGCAATTTTATTCATTCTGAACATTTTGCACTTTAATGCAACGGCTAACTGAAAACAGGCGTCCGTTTGCTCCCAGAACTTTGTGAGAGCAAAACTGGGGTCGAATGCTGAAGCTGACGTCATAGATTTAGCTTTTAAAAAGTTCATCTGCAAAGCAGGTTTTGGAAGAGATTGCGATTCCCTATTACAGGAAAGAGTAGAAAATACGCACAACCGAAGAGAAATTATATTTTTTAACAGACCCGTCCCCTCCAACTCCCGGCGAACGCTGCCTGCCCGCTTGTGCCTGTGCAAGCATCTTCTCTCCTTTTTTAATACAATGCGCCTGCCCTTTTGGGTATTTTTTAAAAACATGAACAATGATCATCACGAATCCGGCAGTCTGCATGGACGAGAGAACA